CCCTGCGGCCGGCCTGGCTCCACTGCCTCCTGCGCGGTTCCCATTGCGCCCCCGGGCTGTGCGCTAGTCTCGCTCCACCGTCCTTACTGCGCCTTCCAGCCCACCCGCTCTGTGCGCCCCGTGCCGTGCCCCTTCCCTCTGACTGTAACCCGCGTTTGTCGGGACTGGGGACATTCCTGGGCTAGGACTGAAGAGCTAGTTAGGCTTCCCACCCCACGCTGGGCAAGCAGTGGCCTACTTTGCGTGGGGCACCTGGTGCGCCTTGGTGACCTGGAACGAAGCTGTTGCGGCCGATAGATTCAGTTAAACTAATGACTATTGGGCTTTTTCTTACCCCTGTGAGCTCTGAGGTGTCCCCTGCCCCCAATCCTGACCCGGCCCCCTCTCTCTGGGTTTTCGATAGTACTTTGGCCGCTCCTTTGTTCTTGGTGGTGAAACAGAGGGCCTGGGTTTGATGATAACTCTCTGCTGTCCAGAGAGTTGCAGCCTGCCTGGGGCTGCTCTGAGCTCCTGATTGTGTTTTGTTTCTGCTTTTTGATCCACACGAGCAGAATCATTTCGAACATACGGAAGGGACTTAAAGCACTTAAGCTTGCAACTGAGTGACACAAAACCAAGTGGCCACGTAAACACCGGGGTGGCTCAGATACAGCTTCAGGCATTATAAAAAGTCAGGCCAAGAAGCCGCTCTCGGCCCAGACAGCAGAAGCCTCGCAGAGCCGCGTACTCCGGGAAGCCGCCAGCGCGTGCCTCCGTTGCTGCGGAGCGCCGCTATTATGCAGCGGGCTTCCTAGATTCGGCCACCACCGTGCATTGTTAGGCCTAGAGGCACGGTCAGAGGGAAGATTCCACAGCCTCTGGGGACACACGGCTACAGTGGACCCAGGGAGCTCAGGGCATAGTGGGATACTACTACGAGGATCCTTTTTTAAACTTGGGGCAACTAAACAGGCCTTGTCACATGAAGGGAGAAGGCAGCAGTGGCCTCACAGGTGACCGCTCCTCTGTGTCATTTGCTTACAGATCAACAAAAAACTACAGTGATTGAAAACGGGGAAATCAGGTTCAACGGAAAGGGGAAAAAGATTCGGAAGCCTCGGACCATTTATTCCAGCCTGCAGCTCCAGGCTTTAAACCACCGCTTTCAGCAGACTCAATACCTGGCCCTTCCCGAGAGAGCCGAACTGGCTGCTTCCTTAGGACTGACACAAACACAGGTAATTCCCAAGAAGCCCAAGTATCCCTGAAATGCTGGCCCCACTTGCAAATCGTGCAGAGAGCACACCAGGAGGAATTCTTGGCCTAGTCAACCAAGGATGGAAGGAGATAAATGGCAAATGCTTGTGCTCCAGTTGCGCGCTTTCCCGGGATCACACAGTTTGGAATAAATGACCTGGTATTGAATGCTGGATTGGATTTGCATATACACCAACCCTCTGCGACCCCAGCTGAGCTTAGCATCTTTTGGTGAACAAAAGTATAATTCAATCAAATCCGATTCCAGAGCAGAATAACATGAAACAAAACAATAGTGTGTGTGTGTGTGTGTGTGTGTGTGTGTGTGTGTGTGTGTGTGTGTGTTGGGGGGGGATACAGCTAGGAAGCAAAATAAGGCCCTTTCTTAAGGATCCTTTTGTGGCCCCTGGGAGCTAATAAGAATTTCAACTCATTGACATAGGAAGAAAACTTAAGAGCTGAGACCAGCAGCAAAAGTTAACTAGACATATTTTCCAGTAGCTTAATAAAGGCATCCATGGGCAAGCCATTCACTCCAGGATGGGTAAGGCAGGGTTTCTGGAGGTTGCTTTAAGCTCAGTGGTTAAATCACCCTGGTACCAAATAGTGCAGGTTGAGGTACCTCCTTGGAGCACAGGACTTGACAGAATTGGCAAACAAAGAGAATATTCCCCAAATTATGGCCTGGGACACCACAGATAACAGTCCTGCTGACTTGAAAGATGTGCTGGACATTTCAGATTTCACAGAAAGGGGCCTAGAGGTGAGTATATCAGGCTGCACTCTTAAGCCATCAGTTAAGCCAACTGCATGGGGTCAGAGGCCTATTAAGGCATTCCTCATCTTCATACAGCAAGGGTACTTTGGGCCTTACAAGACAGTTGCCAAGACCGTGTAGAATGGAGTCGTCAGGCCACTTCCCTAAGCTCTTCTCCATCAGCCTGGTTTCTATTGCCATGTTGCCACTGAAAACATTTGAGGCTTGCTATGAAAGAGCTCTAGATGCTCCGTGACTCCTATTATTCTTAGAAAAACAGATTCAGGAATTTTAAAGGTAAAGCTGCAGCATAGATTTTCTTTCATCAAAAAATTTGGGTTGTTGACCTAAATAAGCTGCCAACACAGATTTGTGATTCATGTGTGGTTTTCAGGGGCCTTTGAATTTTAGTAGCTATCCCAATCATGTGATGATTGATGACCTCTGTTTGCTTAAGCAACGTACTAGGTAGGGAATTGGGGGATGGTGCATTCCTTATTCCCTGCAGGATTGGAAGAATATTTCTGTCTGGAGAAAGATATCCCAGGCACATCGCATGGCATGTGCACAATATACATAGGTATGTTTAAGGCATTTGGTTGTGAACATACAGCCTTTAATCAATTCATAGTCATTTGCTACTTGGATATGCATAACTTTGCGAGCTTTGGGTTGATAAATATAAAAACTGAGTAATTGGAGGCGGTAAATTTAGTTGTATGATTGTGCTCTAAAATCTACTTCATGTAAATATCCATAAAATTTTGGTCCACTGATCTCATTTGATTTATTTATAATTTTATGCTGATGCCTTAAGACCCAGGCTAAAATTCAACCCAAGAATCACAAGGACTGTAGGTATCCTAACAAGATATCGAGCAGGCCTAGAGTGGAGGGATAGAGATGGCTGTAAAGAAGTGAAGGGAGAGGGCTGGGAATGGGCTTTTTTAGAATTGCAATGGTTGTTTTGTTGTTTGTTTGTTTTTATATTGCTTCTTGAGTCTAGGATGACATTGAAGGCACCGTTCTGATGTTTATCTGCAATAATGATTGCTGCATTTCTTGCAGGTGAAGATATGGTTTCAGAATAAACGCTCTAAGTTTAAGAAATTGCTGAAACAGGGCAGTAACCCCCATGAGAGTGACCCTCTCCCAGGTTCAGCAGCCCTGTCTCCACGCTCGCCAGCGCTGCCTCCAGTGTGGGACGTTTCTGCCTCCGCCAAGGGCGTCAGTATGCCCCCCAACAGCTACATGCCTGGGTATTCGCACTGGTACTCCTCACCACACCAGGACACCATGCAGAGACCACAAATGATGTGACTTGTCTGAGTGAACAGCCTCGGGACTTCTGAAGGAAGCTCGGAGGTTCCAGGACTCACCTGCATCTGCCAAACAGCCTAAACGATGAGCTCAGAGGAGCTGTCCCTGTGATCTGGGTCTCCTCTCTCTCTCTCTCTCTCTCTCTCTCTCTCTCTCTCTCTCTCTCTCCCTCCTTCTCTTCTCTCTCTTCTTCCTCCTTTCCTTCCTTGTTTTCCATTCCTTTTAATCTTTCTTCATCTTTCTTTCCTTTCTTTCCACCTTTCTTTCTTTTCCCCCTGTCTTCCCCTTCTACAATCTCCTCTCTTCAGCAACCTTAATAAGTAACTTTGCAACACACACACACACACAGAGAGAGACAGAGACAGAGAGACTAGCTTCTGTACCAGTGTTCTGGAAACCCATCACTGTAAGGATATTTTCCCTCACACCTTGGGATCCAGACCCTGAGTTTCCTCTTTGGGACTCTCCATCAAAGTGACTTTTTTTTTTTTTTTTTAAGACATTCTACACCCGCAGAACAATCTGCACAAACATGGCAGCATTTTTACTTGTTTAATGAGTTTAAGACATTACGTGAAGAAAGACAATTTTGGACTCCTGAATTTTTATTTACCAATCCAAGACTAAGAGAAGGAGAAGGAGGAGGGGGAGGGGAAGGGGAGGAGGAAGAGGAGGAGGAGGAGGAGGAGGAGGAGGAGGAGGAGGAGGAGAAGAAGAAGAAGAAGAAGAAGAAGAAGAAGAAGAAGAAGATAGAAAGAAACCCCCCACTATCCCTTCTCTAAAGAAAGAAGGAAAATTGGCTGTCAAATTCGAACATTGCCACAAAGGAAACACTGCATGGTCTTATCTAAATACAATGACCAGGGACCCGATGATTCAACTAAATACAAATAGTAACAGCAACAAGAGAGACGCTCTTTGCATAACCCACTTCCAAACTCTGAATCAAGAAAGACCAAGGAAACAACCAAAAGCACTATTCTATTGCTTTGACACCTTTCCTAGGTGAATAGTGGCATTCACTAAGCTAATAGGGACGTTTATATCAAGAAACATTTCTGTATATATTGTTGAATTTTAGTTGTATATATACTTTGTATGTTTTTGTCTTCTTTCATATATGGAGTAAAAGCCACAAAATGTTGGGAGTGTCCTCTATTTCTCCATGTGTCTCTGTCTCTTCATCCTTTCTCCCTTTCCATTATTTTTTAACCTCTCTAAAATAATTTCTGTTTCCTAATCTGGGGTGCTCTATACATACTTATCAAGTGCCTGAAGAGATGTCAGTTTTCACCTAAGCCTTTGTCTCAGGTACTTTAACATGAGCTGTAGATATTTTCTCGGCCTTTCATTTTAATTTTGTTGTTGATTCATACACACTTTTGTATTTTTAAACATTATTATAAACTATTCCAAGGTTAATTTCTAGACATCCAGCCATTTCCAGTACTGTCTGTATCTGAATATTCTCCTTTCCCTTTTCCCAGCCAAAATAGTACAGCTATATTTGCCTTTGGAAGCGGTTAAAAAAATTAGAAAGAGGAAAGAATAACAAACCCAGAAAGCAAAGTGCACAATTTTGACTACTTAATGTTGAAAACCCAAGTGCAAACTAGCGAGGTAGAAAAATGTACTATCCTGGGAGAAACACATCCTTCCGATCTCGTGGAAAGCAAAGAAATAATGAAAATGAAAAGTCTTTTCGTCATACAAGCAGGAAGCCCCATACTGTGAGAATTAATGGCTACAGACCTGGGCATCCTTCAAATTATGAACCTTGAAACCACTGAGCCATTTATCAGAAGTCAATAGAGATACTCAGAGTGCTCCATATAATGACAGCGACATACAGTCGTGCAAAAGGACAGTCACTATAATTAGACACAAAGCAAAGACTACTTACCAATATACCCGTTCCTTTTTTTGTTGAGCAACTTCCACGCTCAGTCAGTCTTCAGAATGGTTTAGAGCCGATCAGTCTTGTCATTTTCTAGCATTCGCATTGTTACATTAGGAAAAATGTTTTCTTTTCTTTTTTCCCCCTTCCTACTGTGAAACTTTGGGTTCGTAGCTCCCCAGGATCAATTCTGAACAAAGCCTCCAGCTGCAGTGCCATCCAATTTGAAGCAGACATTGGGGACAATTTAAGGTTTTTATCCACAAGAAGGTTTTTTTCCATTCTCTTAAATGCAGCCATAATTAGAGTAATTTTTCATGTAGCCCGCTGATTACAGCGTTTTTACCGTCAAAGATAATTACCTGTAATTTTCTTCCACTTTTAATACTAAAAAGCCATCTTTATTTAGATTCAGGAACAGGAAAGGCGAAACAAAAGAGGGAAATTATTCTGTTATTCATACACAAATTGCAGAGACGTAGGACCTAAAATTGAAAATTAACCAAAATTATAATGCTGAAAAGAATGGAAGAGGCTGCGGGAGTACAGCTGGTAGCAGGGCTTTGCTGAATTATTCAAATTATGTTAGAGAGAAAGCTACCATATATCCAAACCAACACTCATTTTTCTTAAAAAAAAAAAATTCACCAAATATATGCCAAACCACTGTGAGTGTGTGGAGTTCTGAAACCCAGCCAATGTATGTTACTATGTTGGAGGCGGGGCGATGGTGTTTCTTCATCCGATCTCTATCTCTTAACATCAGCTTAATCACACAAATTCTAGGAGATAGTTCCCCTGGAATTCTCCATAGAACTGGGTTCCCACTGGGCCCCCTGAACTTCAAGGGTTAATATTTTCTCTTTTAAAATGTATTGACCCCCTAGGAAACTGATTCCCTGAGGGAGGGATTGGTGGGAGGGGCATGGGTGAAAGGCGTTGCCAGCTGAGGTGTCTACTGCGCCTCCCCACGTTCAAACTTCTTCCTAGGCTACAGAGTTTGAGTTCCAAAGCCCTATTCTGACCATGTGAAGGGGGTGGGGTGGGGAGCAAAGCTATTGGGTAAAGGTATAGGAGAGAGACAATTTCTCCTCCTCACTAATAAATAAGCACCTCCTTATCTTTGGACTCAACGTAGTGTAAAGGTTCTTGCCATGGTAGAAAATCTTTTCTCTGCAGTGTGGGGAAGTCAAAAACATTTTGGGCTCCCACACTAAACATTTCTAGATGCTTATAAAATCTACAGGATCAGGAAACAGCGTCATCTATAGATAGAACAGCACAGCTTCTTGCTACTGTCTTCCTTGGTACATAGACTAAACTGGTTCTTTGGCTTCATATATTGGTTCTGTGTCTCAACCAATCATGACCCTCTAACCCTAGGATCGCTGCATTTGGGTTCAACAAGCAATAAGGTCCAAGATCCGGATACCTTTCCCCTCCCCCATTACACACACACACACACACACACACACACACACACACACACACCACAGCTCTAACAGCCTTGAAGGGCTTCAGATGCCAGTGTTTCTACAAACTTTCCCCTCAGCTGGAGAGAAGATGTCCCAGGGGCTGCAAAGCCCAGAGATTCGGGCACACCTGCTTTTGCTAACATGCATCCGCATACCTGACTGCAAAGAAGCAAGCCACACAGCCAATTCTGTTTGATCTCTTGATGCCTCAAAACCTAAAATCACGGCCGCATGTAAAAACCTCAATGTATTTACCTAAGATCAATTGTAAGTAACAATTTTCAGATAGACTTTAGCTTGGACTCTAGGCTCCTACCACACCTCACAGAAACCTGGTCTTTCCCTAGTCTCCAGTCACGAACTACTCCCAGCACATCAGCAGCACAGAAGCAAGACAGGCAAATCAGGTTCTTAAGGATCCCGTTTTCACCAGATCAACTCTTTTACTGTTAAAGGAAAATAAAAGATCAGAAGCAAACCCTAGAAAACAAAGTTGCAGTTCAAGAAAATCACAACAACACATTATATACAGCTTGGAGAGTGTGAGGTGAGAAATAAAAAACGGTACCTAGAAGTATGCCAGAAATAAAAACTTACCCCAGTGAATATCTCTTAAGCAATGTTCAGGGTCTAGAAATCTATCCTGAGCCGAAGCACAGGAGAGTATTTTTCTGAGTCTCAGGGCAGAAGCTCTGTGTCTGTATTCTTGGTTGAGTGAGCACATCCAGGTGTGAAATTGTTTGCACACCCCAGCACCTCTTATATTGCCAGCAAAATTAGCTGTTATTACTGTCACTGTTTAGTGATGGTTAGCGTGATACAAAAAAAAAAAAAAAAAAAAAAGCCGCTGTAATCAAGACCTGGCGCATCTTTGCAAATTACAGATAATTGTAAACGTCCAGATTATGATAATAGCATCCTAATCCAGCCTGCAATATAATTATTACAGAGTGTTACATCTGAAACTGTCCAGTAGGGCTAATTCAGCCATTATTTAGACCCTATTTTTTGCACTGCAAATGGGTTGCTGAGTTGAAAATGTACGATTGTAATTTCACGGGGCACTCAATGAGTAATGGTATAGGAAGAGGAAAATACAAAAGTGAAATGTGAACAGTAGCGATCAAATCAAACCCTGAAGGACAAAAGACTGTTTGATTCATATGGAAAAAGAAGAGCCAGAATTAAGAAAATAGCAAATCAGTGGTCTGAAGTATTGTGTGTCCAAGTCTTCAACAGTGTAGAGCTGATGCATTTGCGGAGGCTGCTGTTGCTGCCTGCCTGCAGTTCCAAATAACATTTCTTCTTCTTCTTCTTCTTCTCCTCCTCCTCCTTCTTCCTTTTCTTTTAAAAATACTCCTGTCTTTCTTCCCACTGCCAAAGCATTTCCCTACATTTGAAGGTGCCCCTCCCCCACGGCCCCTCCCCCACAGCAAAGAACGTTTGTCAGTTTCCCCATTGTTTCCACCAAAGTCACCTCAGAACATGCCTGTCACTTGTTATGAACATATTTTTAAATGAATTTGCAATCGCTCTTGTCATCAGAGCAAAATGCCCTGGCTGCTTCCGAAGCGTTTCTGTCCCCCAGCTCCATCTCTGCTCTCTTTCACAATGAAGAAGCTATAGTGTGTCCTAGAGGACATTAGCTGAATATGTATTAGTAGATGTTAATTAAATGTAGCCAACTGGGAAGCTGCCATCTTCAGTTGGTTTGGCTATTTGTTTTAATTTCGTCATTAACTTTATTAATTAAAACCTCCCTAAGTCAATCAGTCTGACTGCTTCTGCGTCACAATGTGCCTAATGGGGCAAGGTTCGTCACCTTCAAACTCTAAAAGACAGACTAGAAAGGGGTGGGAGAATCAGAGGGAGAGGGGCTGGAGAGAGATTGAAAGACTGTTCCTGGTCTCTTAGTCAACCCTCTGAAGATTCCATTACTTCCAGAAGGATAACCCCTGGCCTAGTAGAGACTTTGCTGGTCTAATTCTGGTGGGGACACCCCTGTCAGAGACACCTAAAGACCTTCTATCCCCAAGACTTCAGTTTTTCCAGGTTGAGCACAGAGAATTGCCTGGGCACTCTTTTCCTGTCTCTAGGCCAACTGTGTTGATTCTCCCTCCTCCCAACAACACCTTAGAGAGACCCACGCGCTGCCCAGCCTGGGCCACCCTGCGGGATGGCAAGCAGGCTCCCTACCTCCTGTGAATATAAGGGCAATAATGAAATGTCCCCTGTTTAGTGACCCCTGTTTATAGATGAAAGTTGAGTCCATATCCTGCCCCCCCCCCGCGCCCCTCTTTCCCCACCTTGCAAATGGCAAGTGACAGAAATAGTCCTAGGATGACAATAAGCGGCAGTTTCTGTTTTCACGCCTTTCAAGAAAAAAAAAATGCTTTAAAATAAATCATAGCTTGGGAACTGTTTACCATCCTTCACTCCCACCCACTTCTTAAAAAAAAAATACAGCAGACTGTGTATGGTGGATTCCACAGAGAATTGTTACTGAAGCCAGGAGTGTGTGTGTGTGTGTGTGTGTGTGTGTGTGTGTGTGTGTGTGTGTGCAGAATCAGGTCCTGAAGCCTCCCCCTCCCCCACTCCTGTGGTGAAAGGTCGCAATGTGTGGTATTTCACGGTTTTATATAAATCTTGGTTTAGGATGTGGAACAGACTCAATAATACATGTGCTCTTGGCAGAGAGATTCCGTCGGAACTCCATAAATCAGAAGTCAGTCAGTCCAAGCGAACAACAGCTCAGAAACATTCAATCGCTGTAAAAACCGGACTCTCCAGTGCTTTAAAGAGGGAATCGAGTAAATTCCCTGTTTCTATCTTTAAGGTTAGAACTCAAAGTATAAAGCGGGTTATCACATTACAGCGGGCAGCCCTAGGTGACTGAAACCGAAGGCTCCTGCACCCCTCCATCCAGTTTTCCTCGGGCAGTAGATACATTGTATACTTTCTGCCTTGCACCGCTAAGGAATCGAAAGCCTGTCAGAGGCAGAAGAGAACACCGGGGATGCAGGTCGCCGGTACAGGCTATGTAGAAAAGATTTAACCAATCCCACGTGTACCACCGCGATTCCGGCTATTTTCGAGGCCCAAATTTCCTCTGGACTGGGACTGGGTCTGCGGGCAACCTGGGAACAAGCGGAGGGAAGCCGGGAGCGGGGTGGGGGTGGGGGGACAGAAGCGAGCCGAAAAGCCCCCTCCCCAGCTCTGGGCAGTGGGAGCCTGCACCCAGCCAATGGGGTGGGGGTTGCTTGAGAGTGAGGCGCTAGGTGACCGCAGACTGATCCTCGAGGGTGGCGCGCTTCCCAGCTGTGTCTCCCAGCTACCGACCTCAGGGTGTGCCTTCCCCGAGGGCTGGAGAGCTCAAGGTTGGCGGGATCCCAGTGGCCAGTGGGAGGCGCTGGAACCAGGAGGTGGGGGAGGGGGCTGGGATGTGGGTGGCTGAGTAGTCCTAAAGGTCCCTCTTTGGGAACAACAGGAAGCGAGGAGCAGAGGGGGAGTGCAGAGCAGTTTCCAGCAGGCATCCAGGGCAATTCGGGCTGGGGAGCGCTAGATACTGAACTGTGTGGAGGTGGCAGGGAGCTCGAATGCACGGCCTAGGCGCGCTGTGGGTAATTCTGAACCGCACGGCCGGGACACCGCGAGCCACTGGGCGTCCGGTGCGATCAAAGGAGCCACGGGAGGCTAGCCGGCGCGCCTTGGGTTGTGGTATAAGGGGCGGGAGAGAGAGGGCTGTCCTTAGGCGGAGAGATGCTGCTCTGGCTGGTGTCTCTGGGAGGGGATGCGTGTACATCTTTGTGTGGGTCAAAGCTCTCCTATGCAAGGCCGGGCCCTGGGTGGATCCGAGTGGGAGTGGACTGACTCCCGGGTAGGTGCCCGACGCGAGGGAAAGAGCAAGCACGAGAGTGAGATCAAGGGCAGCGAGGTCTGCGGATTCTTCAGTGTGTGTGTGTCTCAGGCCCTGTGGCTCGGCACTGGAGCCGCCTGGCACCCACAGGAATGCAGCTTCCCTCGGATCCCCAGGCCGACTCTTGTCCCACAAGGAGGTGGCCGCCAGGAAAAAGGGCGAGAAAGGGAGTAGAAACCCGCCCAACCCAACCCTAGTCTCAAACAAAGGCCAATTTAGCTGATCTTCTACAGGAGGGCCCGGGAGGCGGGCAGGGCATCGAAAAGAAAAAAAAAAAATCACTCGAGCCCTGCCAACATACTCTGGGTCTCCTGGGCTTTACAGGAAAGTCTGAAAAAGGAAACTGAAAGTATTAGGTGGAGATGGGGGTCCACTGTAAAGAAAATTAATTCCGAAGCTTGCTTGATTCATCTTGGGGGTATTAGAGAACTATGCAAGTGAGGAACAGAATGGGCAGGCACCCACGACTCCTAGTTTGAAGTGCAGGGAGAGTGGGGTCTGCCAGGGCCAAAATATTGTGAGGAATGATGCGCGCCTGTTAGATACAGGGAGAAACAATGGAGAGCTTAAGAAGGTGGGAGGGAGGGCAAGAGAAAGAGATATTTTCAGACTTTGCTGAGGATCTGTTATTTTTACATCCTTGGGCGCAGGACTGCAGGGAGTTAAATTCCCCGGGGAGAATCCCCGTGGTGCCAGGAAAGCCCGTTGCGACTCACTTGCCAGAATATTTTTTGTTCACCGCTCCCCCAACCAAGCTTAAAAAAAAAAAGACGAGCAGGAGACCACTACTAGAGGAGCAAGGGGGCTTGCACAAGGGGTGGAATCCTGAAATCACCCCCCAACCCCCTCCCCGCCGCCCGCTGCTGCTGCCGCCGCGCTAGGCTTGGCCCCAAGCAAACTGGCTTTAGTGTCCTTAACAACTAGTAATGCCCTGGCTTGGGGTGAAGGGCAGTGATTAAAGAGCATCCCTCTTTTTCCCTGAGAAAGGCCCGGACCCGCCTTTCCCTCTGCTTGGCTGAGTCCGGGGGTCGGAGGTAGTGAAGAAACCACACACACCCCTATCCACCAGGAATGGGAGCAGGGAGATGACAGCCACCCTCTCCGAGTGTCAAAATGGAAAGAGCATGTTCCAAGCACATTTTTGACACTCTTGGGAAACCAGTGGGCGGGTAATATTGGGGGTGTGCAGTGGGTGCGCTGCCACTGCCAACCTTCCCAAACACACACCCTGAGGTGGGAACAGGACAGGTCCTGGAAATGGAGACCAAGCCTTCAGAAAGCTCCGGGCTTTTAGTATCATGGAAACTGCTTAAATCTTTGCAAGTAAAGAAAGAAAAGCAGAAAATAGACACCTTCATCTGTTTCCCCCATTTCACCCTGCCACTGCAGAAAACGAGATGGGTCTAGGGTCTCTCCTAACACCATCACCCACCCCAGGTGGAATGCAGTGAGGACAGGAAAGAGTTTTTGGAGATGCTCTCCTGTTTAGGCAGGGTTCAATTGCCCAGGCTGCCTGGATGTGGACCGCAGCCACCCCCAAGGCCCAAGGAGTTCCAAACTGGTGGACTTGGTGGAAAAAAGGAAAAGAAAGGGGGAGGGAGAAAAAATGGAGGTAGAAGTTTGGAGGGAAGGAAGGAAGAGATTGAGGAGACAGGCTGACTCTTTAAATGGCCCAAGGGCACAGAGCCTGCCTCTTTGGTTCTCACTGCTTGCTTGGCAGGGTCCTTTCTGAAATCCTCAGACGACAGGATGTAATTTTTTATGTTCTAATCCCCCCTCCCCAAGAGAGCTCCTTTGTTACATTTATTGCAACTGACTTCCTATCTGTGTAATATTTCCCATAAATCTAGTAATTTCCAACACTATATGTTCCTTTGGTGTCATAATGAAAAAGATTTAGGTGAACTGAAGGACAGCCAGCCACAAAGATGCCTCTAATTCAGGCCTGGGGGCATAGCTCTGGACCCAGGCTATAGCTCTGGGCACAGTCTAGATGTCTACGTGCAGAGGTGTAAGGAAAGGGCAAGTCAGGGGCCAGGTTGCTGCAACTCCTACATCCTTGCCTTAAAGATGGCTTCACAAAGAAATCGCAGTGAAGATCCCATTTCCTACAGTTTAGAATTAGCTCTGCTACTGTATTCTGTAAAAGCAGGGCAGAAGCTGCTCCTGAAAGAGCCACAAAGTACAGATGATAGTGAAAGACAATTATATTAAGAACATCATCTCACACGGAATGAAATCAACATAAGGCCTCGATTCCCCCCTCCCCCAGTTCCCTCTTCTTCTTTTTTTTTGGAAAAGGAATGCTCCCTACCCTGTATTCCTTGTTTGGCCTATCCTTAGGATATTTTCTTGCCTGAAAGAGCCTGACAAATTTCTAGTCATACACATTAGGACTCCAAGGCATAAGCTAGCACTTGCTGTGCCCCAACATTTCAGTTTTGAAAAATATAGTAGGAATGAAAGCAGATTTCCTTTTCCTTTCTCATCTTGGGATGCTCATTTTCAAAAGGATCATAATTTGTCTAATTGCAATACATACGTTGATGGAGGAAGTGATTCCCCATCAGAATCACTTTGAACTTAGAATTCCAGGTTATTGAGGGATTTCTGTTGCCTTCTTACTCACATACAAGGTAGTAGAAATGTATTTAGATTTCAATATTCCTTTCTATCCGAAACAATTGGAGTTATGTTTAATATCATTTAAATGGTTTTGCGGTTAGGAAAAAAAACACCCTAAACATGACAGTACTATAAACAGACCACATGTGCAGACAGATACATAGACCACAGCGTCCAGCACAAACACCTTTCTACCCCATGCAGCTCCTGACTTCTGCTTTGCATTGCTGGATTTCTGAAAAATTTGTCTGCTTTTAATCACCTGCACAGAACCTCACTAGCCAGTTATCGGGGGGCCAAAGAGGAACAGTTTTCATGGTCGAAATAATTTTATTTATCCAGAATATACAGTTTAATTCCTCTATCTACACTTATTTACACGGTTAAAATAACATTGAAAAACGTCTTTTGAAAAGTTGAGGTCATAGATTTCAAGGCACCATTGATAGTGTCCACAGTTGCGCAAAAAAAAAAAAAAAGTTTTTTTTTCCGTAAAAAAAGGGGAGGGGGTCCTTTGAAATGCAATAACTTACATGCAAAAAAAAAAAAAAAGCTTTACACATGAACTTTTTTGTTGTTGTTTCCATTTTCCAAACATCCCCGTATGAATTCCTTTCTTTCTGATTTCTAAAACAGCAAAACACTGTAGTCCCAAAACTGAGCAAGAAAGACAGAACAAGCAGCCCATCTAATAGAGCGTCCCGGAGGCCAGGGCCAGCGGGTGCTGCAAGGAGCCCGGCGGCGGCGGCAGGTGGGAATTGATTGAGCTGGCTGCGCTTGGGTACCAGGAAGCCGAGTTCTCCAAGTAGCTGGACGCGGGGGACTGGTTGGAGGTCGGAGGGTGGGCATGAGGGTGGTGGCTGAGAGAGCGGGATGAGCCCTGGGGCTCCCACACCGCTGGTGACTGTGGCGAGTTACACGCCATAGGGTCGCTGGAGCTGGGACTGTGCTCCGGGGGCATCTCCCCGTTTTTCATGATCTTCTTGATCTTGGATCTTTTGTTCTGAAACCAGATTTTCACCTGGGTGGGGGAACAAAGGCACACGTTACCGGGACACTCAGAGGTTGCCCGCGCCTTTCCCTGGGCAGTGAGTGAAGGCTCTTCTGGCCCCTAGACTACACCCAGTCCCGGTATCTCCCAGCAGCTGTCCACCTACTGCCAAGATGTGCAACCTCACTCTGTGCAAGGAGTGGGGCCCACAGAGGAAGCCCTGGCCTTCTCAGGCAGCACCCGGCTTCAGCTAGGGTGAGACCCCCAAGGCTTTGTCTTTTATTATCTCTGGATCTGAGCGCTCGTGTGGGCCTGTGCACCAGTGCACCGGCTAAGAGTACTCAAAGGCTAGAGCCCCAGGGGGTGGGGGGGTTGGAGGGTAGAAGGGGCGTGGGCCAGACTGAAGGCTCAGTGTGCCAAGGGAAAGGAGCGACTTCCCAATCTCTTGCGGGACTCCCTTCACTCCCCTCGGCACTGGGAGGCCAGACTCTGCCTGAAGCTCTGGGCGGCGACTTGAGCATTCTTTATTCTAGGCCCCAGCCAGTTGGAGTGGGAGGGAAAAGAAGGGGACAATCCAGGAGGGTTTCCTCGTACAACAGCGCCCCCCGCCCCCACCTCGCGACCCTCAGGCTGCTGCGGCTTCCAGCTGCCCCAGGGGTAGGACACGATCCGGACACGACGACCCAGGCCTTTACATGGCCGGAGACTACAGCCAGGCCACTGTGCCTGGAAGCTTCTCATTGTGAAGAGACCCAGACATTTCTTCAGAACGCGCGAGAGATTCCCCGCCCCCACAAATACCCCTACCCTTGTTTTCACTCTGGAACGTTGGTCCCCAGCCCTCGGTGGCTAAAGGGGTGGGGGCGGGCAACTCGGGACAAACGACGAATCCCGCGCCCACCGCCACGTGTCGTTAACAGGCCTGGCTCGTGGAGGGAAGGATGCAAGGGCTAGTGTCTGTCTATCGGTGTCTGTCTGTCTGTGTCTGCAGAGTTCTAGGGTATCGGCTCCAGCCAGTCGGGACCGAACCACGCGGCCCAGCCCGGCTTGCAGGCCAGGCGGGGCCGGTACCCGGCGGCGGCCGGATTTACCTGTGTTTGCGTCAGTCCCAAAGAGGCAGCCAACTCGGCGCGTTCTGGCAGGGCGAGGTACTGAGTCTTCTGAAACCTTCTCTGTAACGCGGCCAGCTGAAAGCTGGAATAAATAGTCCTGGGTTTACGAACTTTCTTTGGTTTACCGTTCACCATCCTCACCTCTGGCTCCGCCACTTCTTTCTCTAAACAATCAAAACAGACGCGGTTAGAGCTTCTGGGCAGACAACAGGCTCTTTTGCACCGGTCCTCCAATCACTGGGGTTTTGCTTATTTTGAAGTATGCAGTCTTCTCTCTCTTTCCCAATATCACCACCTTGACTTTTCAAACCTCAATGAAACCGGTCCCTTCCCCAAATCATACATTAGAAGAGCCGGCCAGTACCCGGCTTAATGGCTCCTGCGTGCCGTGGGGCACCTCGCACACAGTCAGCTGCTCCTTCGTTTTAGGGATGCTTACTTCTCTCAGACATCCCCACCCCACCCCATCCCCCGCATTCACCCTGGGCTCCCCCGGCGTTTCTGGGACGTGAATACCCACTCCATTCCCAGGGCGTCAAGTGAGGAGGCCCTGGGCCGTGACCCCGCTTCTGTCGGCGTCTGTTCGGGCGCCCGCAGAAGCTAGACGCTTGGGCAGGGAAGACGCTAGCCAAGGTCTCCAAAGTTCAAAGACCAACAAGCAAACTATGTTCCTTCACTACAGCGGCAAGCGGTCGGTCGGGGCCGCGGCAGACAGAGAGTCGATTATGCAGCCCCCATAATCTCACTGCAGATCTGCGAGGCACGGATGTGTCTGGTTTCTTTTACAAATAGACTTAATATGTTCTTGGCCAAAAAAAAAAAAAAAAAAAAAAAATCTTCCCCTTATGCACGAATACAGAGACAGGGACAGGAACAGACTCAAAGTTCAATCAGAGATGCTTTGAAAAGGAATCTGTCGGGAAGATATTTTCGTAGTAAAGGGGAGAGAGCCGGGAAGAATTCTCACTGTTATAAATGTACACCGCTGGAGGGGGGCGTCTCTGAACCAGTGTTTTGCAAACATGCCTCTCGGCCACATGGCCCCTTCCCCCCCAAAGTTCTAGGAGCTGAAAGGAGTGGGAGAGCCTGTGTGTGTGAAGCGGCTGCCAGAGGAAGGGTGGAGGATGAGGGCTGTGGTCTCCACTCTGCTGGAGTAGGGGATGCTAATATTAGCAGGCTTATTAATGTGTTGGTGAGGAGAGATCAAAATCGACCAGTCAAACTTCTCCTCCGAGACTTCACGCCTCTCATTTACCGCCCAAGCTCACTACCCCACTGTAACTCTGAGCAAGTTTCAAGGTGGACGGAAAAAAGGAGGCGGTGAGGAAGGAGGAGGCAGACAAATTCTAGGCACCTAAAGACAGAGTGAGGGGGAAAAAATCCCTCTAACAACGTGACCTCTCAGCAACCCTCCGCTATTTTAAATGGCTTTTTTGTGTTTGGAAATGCCTTGGATAAACCGCAAAATTCCCTGCTCACTCTTCTCTGTCAGGCTGCAGCCCTCCGGCCCTTAGGCCACCCGGTGAGCTGCAGGCACCCGCACAGCGAGGCCTCGGGGCGCTTCTCAGGCTAATCCACACTAGATCTCACCAACTCAGCACGCTCACCCAGAATTCTAACTAACTTTCCCTTTATTACGCAAACACCACTGGGGCTGCTTGATCTCCCCCCCCCCCACTCCAACCCCCCTTAGCCTCTTTCCAGCCTAGCTGGCTTTCAGGCTAGGCAAGTTAGGAATCCAGCTAAGGAGGAACCCCCCGAGGGGCGCCGGAGGGAAAACACCCGACGAAACCTCCCCGAGGTTCCTCCACCGAAAACCCCCAAATTGCCTGGTGAAATGCTCTCCTGTTTGCAGTTCCGGGCCCCCACTCCCTTCTAGGGCTGTGGACAGCGTGGCCCTCATCTACCACCCCACCTCACGCCCGCCGGGTGACGATGCCCTGGGTACCTGCCTCCCGCCTCCGCGTGCCTACCTGGCTGGCTGGTGGCACTCGGGACGCGGTTGTAGGCGCCACCGTACTGGTGGTAGGGGCTGGCGTAGCTGTAGTCGGCGTAAGCCTTGGCCGGGTAGCCGGCTGCGGAGCCGTTCACGCCGTGGTACTGGTACTGGTAGGGGTTGAGCGCTTTGCCGTAGGAAGCAGAGGTAGGAGAGCAGTAGCCGTGCGGGGCGGCCCCCGCGGGACTGTAGTAGTCAGAATCGGTGGCCGACGACTCGGGCAAAGTTGGCGATTCCTGAGACGGATGGTGCATGGCGGCAGACGTCGGGAACGGAGCTTGGAAGTCGCCGGATCGGATGCTGGGGACTCTTCTGTCAAACACTCCTGTCATAGCTCCCGAGCGGTGGCTGTCCTGCTGCTGCGGCGGCCGCTGCTGCCTGAATTGGCTGTGGAGCTGCTCTGGTCTAAGCAGACATGGCTGTGGGAGCGAGGGAGGAGGAGGAGGAAGAGGAGGAGGCGGCGGCGGGGAGGAGGAGGCTGGGAGTCGTGGAGGCTCTGTCTCCCGCAGGCTGACTGCTGGCTGAGGCGCAGCACAGCCTTGGTTAAATCCTTAATTGCGCGCTTACGCACAGCGGGGTGGATCGGGTTCCATTGGCCAGGGCCTCCGGAGCAGAGCAACACCCTAACTCGTCCAACTAGTTTTAGCACAACAAAGCATTGCTTAAAAAAAAGAGAAGGGGGGGGGGGATACAGGGATTGTGTGTGTGTGTGTGTGTGTGTGTGTGTGTGTGTGTGTGTGTGTGTGTGAGAGAGAGAGAGAGAGAGAGAGAGAGAGAGAGAGAGAGAGAGAGAGAGGAGACAGAGACAGAGAGAGACAGAGACAGAGAGAGACAGAGAGACAGACATAGAGACACAGAGACACAGAGAGAGACAGAAAGAGAGAGAGACACACACACACACAGAGGGACTATACATGTTGTTGCCTGTTGTGAGGGTCTCAGTCGATCTGTTTTTAGTGAATAACAAAGAAAACCCAAGAAGCCCCAGGACCCAGCTCTGTGCTGTTTGAAGACAATGTGTTCCAATGAGCAGTCTCAAAAGCACACGTTTAGATGATGAGGTCCATGTTGCTCTTTTCTTGCTCCACACCTACCTGTCTCTCTCCCCCTCCACCAAAGGAGACTGTACAACTGAACACTGTTATGGGAATGGGTGTCAAAGAGAAAGAGGAGTGTTGGATGAAGATGGGAATAAATGGAGACCAGTATTGTTTTAGTGGGATGTTGGGAAGCAAGTTGTGACTAAATTGCGTTGAAAACTTGTAAATTGGAAGACAGATTGACGCATAGCAAGCACTTTTGCAGAAGAATATTTCTCAGGACTCCACAGAGATGCTCAAGAGTGCATATGTCCATTTAGCTGTCACTGGCAGAGTTCCTGCAACTGAAGTCTTCGCAAAGACTGTTAAAAACCAATGTCTTATTCCTGAATAACTTGACATTGCCTAACCCCTCCTAGCTTGCTTTCCAGAAGAGCTGAGCAGCCCTGCTTTTGCTCAGTATCCTCATCTACTTGGAAACTTCTAAACGAAGTGTGTCTCCGTTCAGTAGCCAGATTGATGCAAAAGTGAATTGGTTCAGCTATGTGACTATAGTGCCTCCAGACCAAATGGGAATACGAAGACCAGAAAGTGGACAGGGAACAAAGTCCTCTTAGGAGGTGGGATTATGTCCACTGATGACCTTCTCCTGGTTCTATTGCCTACATACACTCCATATGCCTCTCAATTCCCTAGTTTGGGTTCCTGTATACTTCCCTTTATTTCTTGCCCACTGAACATCGTAGTTTATATAGAGAGGGAGACAGGGCTTAAGATGCACACATGTGGCACAGGCCACCAAAAGAAGTTCATTTTATCGTCATGTGCTTTTACTCTGGTTTTCATTGAGTGGGGGCTTAGGAAATGTATCATAATTCTCACTCATGCCCCACTTCCACTTCCCTCAAAAACGCAACTCCAGGGGTTGTATCCTGTTTTGGGCCTCCTTTTGTTCTTTTCTGGGGGGGGGGGTCCATGGCCAGGAACCTGAATATTAAGGGGGGGTCTTCTGGCCAGAGAAAGAAGTAAAAGTTTGCCTGAGTTTTGTCTAATGTTACTTTATTCTTTTTTTTTTTAATTTATTTATTTATTACGTATACAGAAGAGGGCACCAGATCTCATTACAGATGGTTGTGAGCCACCATGTGGTTGCTGGGAATTGAACTCAGGACCCCTGGAAGTGCAGTCAGTGCTCTTAACCTCTTAGCCATCTCTCCAGCCCCGTTACTTTATTCTTATTGTGGCTGCAGAGCTACCAGGGCCTCAAACCCTCTGTCAGAGAACTGGAAGAAGGATAGCAGTCCCTCTCTGGAATCTGGAGTTCCAATTGGAAGCAGCAACATATGCATCACCTCCCAGTCATTGCCCTCCTGGGCCCCCGAAAACCACAGCTACTGTCGCTTTTCCTTGGCTGGACAACTTCAGCTTTCGTGAACTCGAGGGAACTAGTGTTAAGTAGGGCCACTCCCCTTCCTTCATTATGAGTCAGTCCCTGTTTGCAGCCTTGGTGTCCCTGGATTTCCCTTCTGACACAGATGTGAGGGGTCAACAAATGCCTGCTGTCCCTTGGTCCTGATACCATGCAGTTAATTTTTATGCTGTTGTCCAGGTTCTAGATTTAGCCTGTGAGTGTCTTCAAGGAGGCAAAGACACTGCTGACCTTGTTGGATGTGATCTTGGCCTGCTTTGGAGATGCTCACCTAGCCCATGGAGTCACCTTAGACACATGGAGCCTAATTGCACAAATCTCTCTTCCAAATCAATGCCTGGGGCTGATCGAAGTGTTTACAGGTAAAGAAAAATGGTGCGGAGAGATGGGTGGTCCCTCACTGCTACCAATTCTGTTGAATAGGGATTTAATGTAATAACCAGGAGGGAAATAAGGTCATGATGGTCTTCATCAACAGGCTGAGTCTAGCAGGGCTCTCACAGCTTCCTGAGAAGGCAACATCTCATGAGACTGGTACTGGATACTGCAGACAAGCTTCAGGATCTGGTTGAAGGCAAAGTTATAGTGGTAAGATAATTCTAGACCTTGCTAAAATTCATGTGCTGCCTCCTCTTTTCAGTGAAGATATATATTCATACACACACACACACACACACACACACACACACACACACACACACACACGTCCATGTTTTTATAAACATCAAAAAAAGATCAAGGGTTGATAAAATGACGCAATATCTTTACAGATAACCTGAGGTACTGAAACATTGGCCTTGATGCAGATGTGAATCCCTTGTATCAAGTCCGGTTCAGGGTGAAATCACCAAGTTTTGGTGCCTCTTTGAAATTCTTGACTGCTTTTCTGAGTTGAGCTCCGTTTGTTCCCTTACCACCTTTTCTTAAATGCAGCCAAGAGAGGGTCACTGTGGACAGCCTGGAGTCTGCTCACAATTTCATTTCCCTGGTACACTCTTGTGGTCTGTGCGCTGTCGGCCCCATCTGCGAGTCTGGTCAGTGCTTTGGACACATACTCTGGAGGGTATTCGCCGACGGGGTCATAATTTTTGCTGGTGCTGTGGAGGCGGTTCTGACACCAAGACCTCAAGCTTTGTACTAAGGCCAGTGATGGGACACTTACTGCTTTTCAAATCCCAACTGACCCGACAGCGGAGAAACAATCCCATGGCACCAAACTCCTCCAGGACGCGCTCCCCGCTGAGACACGAGGGAGCATGTAATTTCATCTTTGGGTAGCTGAAATTTGCAAAGGATATGTGGTGGCGTTGGAGGGGGAGACCCTAAAGAAGTACAAGCCTTTACCACGAGCGCCACCCAGTGTCCTCCAGGAATAGTGTGCGCACACGCACACAAAACTTCCCCAGCTTAGAGGCTTGTCAGGCTGGTCCTGCCCACTACCTGGTGGTCGTGCTTTGTCTCAACTTTCAATAAACCCCTTTCTCCAGACCACGTTCTTTTCTTTCTTTTCCTTCCTACAGATCCGTGCTTTTCTTCTCCCATTCCAGGGTAGTACCTTTCTTGTTTGTTTGTTTGGGGCGGGAGGGGGGTCTGCTCTCCATCTTTCAGTTCTCATGTGCATGACTGACAGTTATCTTCCCAGCTGGGGTGATTGGAAGACTTTGAGGGCCACCTTCTTTCCTAGAGAATCTGAGGAAGCACTCCCCCTTTTCATCCAAATGAGGGACCAGGCAGGCTTCTGGTCCTTCACTATTCTAAAGAAGAGAAGACGGGTGTGTCACTCTGAATCTGCTGGTAAATGTGTTATGGAAGGTATGGGGGAGGGTGAGTCATTTTATTTATTCACCTATTTAGATACAGGACCTCATATATCCCAGGCTGGCCTTGAACTTGCCATGTAGTGAAAGATACTGTGGCACTGGTGATCTAACTCAGGGCTTCTGCTTGCCTACTCTACCAGCTGAGCTAAACTAACCCCGTCCCCCGTAATAAATGAAGGTTAGATAAACTTAATAATAAATAAAGATGAGATAAATTTAATAGCCACATGAACTCCTTTTCCTTTCTGTCCCATCTGGAAATCTCTTTAAATGGGAATAGAGCATCCCTCATTTTGGAAATGAGACTCACTGTAATGCACATAAAAATATCTAAAGTTTTGTTTTTACACAGAATTCAGATGCACACAATTCAAGTAGATAAAGGACTGCATAATATATGCTGATGTTTCATATGCACACTTAATATAAGCAAGACTGTCTTGGGCTCGAATACATATCAGGCGCATGTCTGTCTTTAAAAGTCTTGTTCTTTGGCTAATATTTACTTATTTGCAGTATTTCACCCATTGCTTTCTTTATTTGTCCAATGAAAAGTGCTAGCAAGGAAGTTCTCTGTCATGTCTTTACTGATCATGATTCATTGAGGGCATTTTTGTTTGTTTGTTCTTTCAAGACAGGGTTTATCTTTGTAGCCCTGGCTGTCTTGGAACTCACTCTGTAGATCAGGCTAGCCCCAAACTCAGAGATCTGCCTGCCTCTGCCTCCCAAGTGCTGGAAGTAAAGGCATGCACTACAGTGCCCAATCATGGGCATTTTATTTAATTTTCCACAGATCTCAAATATGAGACTGGTTAAGTCATGTTCTGTAGCTGGAATTTTCTCCAGTCCTGCCTGGCCCACAGTCAGGACAAATCTCTCTCACCCACCAGTCCCGCAGCAGCTTAGACCCAACCAAGTAAACACACAGAGGCTTATATTCCTTACAAACTGTATGGCCACAACAGGCTTCTTGTTATCTAGTTCTTATATCTTAAATTAACCCATTTCTATAAATCTATACCTTGCCACATGGCTTGTGGCTTACTAGTATCTTACATGTTGGTAATCATGGTGGCGGCTGGCAGCATCTCTCTGACTCAGCCTTCCTGTTCCCAGAATTCTCTTCTCTCCTTGTCCCACTTATACTTCCTGCCTGGCTACTGACCAATCAGCACTTTATTTATACAGAACAATATCCATAGCACTTCCCCTTTTCTTTTTTTTCAAAAAGGAAGGT